TGTGAGTGTTACTCTCAGGAACAGTGAACTAGGCATATTAAGAGAAGCAAAGTCTATTTAGCTTTAGGGGGCTATATTTATCCAGAGGTTGACCACATTACTTGAGGGTAGGTAGCAGACTAGGGGGCTGAGACTGCCACCTGAAGATCTGAGTTGTGTCCCTGGAACCAGTTCTCACCTGTTGTCTTCACCATCATGTCCTCTAATGATGTGACAGCCACACAAAATAAATAAGCATACTTTTCGAATGCTTAAAGAAGACAAATAACACTTGGGGAAACAGCCGTTCATGAGGAAGCCATTCCACATCATTCTCAAGTTATAACCAAGAGATATGAAAGCACGTCCGCACTGGAACATGCTCGTCTCTTCAGAACACTATGGCTCATAATATCACAAAGTGGGAACCATCCACTATCAGGTTGCAGGGTCTAGGGTCACCTAGGAGATGGCCTGCAGCACATGTTTGCAAGAGAGCTTCTACAGGGCATTGGCTGAGTGGGAAGAGTAGGCAATACCACCCATGGGCTGGACAACGGCCCATGAGAAAGCGAGCTGAGCACCAGCACGCACTGCTCTCTCACAGACCCAAAGTGACCCGATGTCTCACTCACCCACTGCCTCACACTGTACTGCCTTGATTTCCCACCTCTGCAGACTGTACTCTTAAAATGAATCATAACAAACCCTTTCTTCCTGGCAGGAGTTGCTCCTGTCAAGTATTTGTCAGAGCAAAGAGAAAGCAACAAATTCACATGACAGACTCAGTTAAATGTGGGATTTCATAATATAAAATATTTGGCAATGAAGGAGTAAAGTGTTTGTAAATATTACATAATGAACAGCCGCCTCCTCTCTCCCTCTCTCTCTCTCTCTCTCTCTCTCTCTCTCTCTCTCTCTCTCTCTCTGTCTCTCTGACTCTCCCTCTTTCTGGAGTGAGCAGCCCTTGCTCCCTCTGCCCTGTCCACCATGTTGTCCAGCCTCAGCTTGTCCCCAAAGACAAGGAGTCTCTGAAACACTGAGCCAAAATTAACTTTTCTTACCTCAGGGTGCTTGTCCTAGTTATCTTTTTTGGTAACTGGTAAAACTGACCTACACACCAAGTTCCAGGAACCTCAGTGTAAACTGTGAAGTATGTGGTGTGGGGAGCCAAGCTGATGGGTAGGTTGCTCCTGCTCATGGGGTTTCGATGTCCATTTTCCAAATGATAATGTATTCAGTAAAATCCCATTTAAGATGAGGATAACTTACTTTAAAAAATATTTTTTCCACTTTCCACTCATTTCCTTTTTCTCTTACCTACATAAATGACAAATCTAAGTTTTCAAATATAGTGTGGCTTCAAATAAGAAAAAGTTTCTCCTATTTAGAGTCAGAACACAGCTGAGAATCCTGACTTAAACCCGGGGAGCTTCAGAAAGAGAGGAGGAAGAAGAGGAGGAGGAAGAGGAGGAGGAGAAGGAGCCCTGGGGTGGTGGACGGTGCTGGTGGAGTGCAGGAGTCCTTTGAGCTTACCGAAATGTTTAGACTGGCCTCCGCACAGCTGCCAAACATTAAGAGCAGTGTAGACACGTGCAAGGTACGCTATGATCCATGCTCCTCACAAGCAGTTCAAGAGAACCCTGTGGCCAAGGCTAGCTCCTTGTGGTAAGTACTATTTACGTTGCTATAGCACTGCCTGCCATTAAAACATCACCTCAAGTCTGCCACATGTGCCTGCAAGGTTCGCCACAGAGGTCAATCCTGTGCCTCCAAAAGGTTCTAGTTAAGGAAGCAATGCCTCAGAGGAGGACACAGCCAAAGCCTCAGGAAACATCTGTGCAGCTCCGTCTCTCTGCTGACTGAGTCTCCTGTCACACAGCTTGCTCACCTGAGCACCAGGCCATGCCGGCCCTTAAGAGTAAGTCATGAGTGCCAACAGGAGCCAAGAGCAAGTACTCAAGACTCTTGAATCCTTTCTTACGAGACACCTTGTTACCTGTCTATTTAGGTGACATCACTGTGCTCCCCAGTCCTAACTGTCTGGTATTTCTCTGTCACTGTTGGTTTTCCTGGCTCCTGCAGTCTGTCTTTTTCATTTGTTCCTTAGCTCAAGTTTAGCACCCAGGATGCAGGATTCTGCTCTTCTCGCCCGGCCCGATACACAAGTTCGGGCCAACGGAAGGAATGGAAGCTTAAGGGATGAAGGAGGCACAGGGCACAAAAAGGAAGAAGAAAAGTGGCCATGTAGACCACTGCCTGTGCTGAGCCACAGTGATAGATGAAGACGCAACACCCAGGCAGGAGAAGTCTTGGTCTGGACCTGATGAGTAAAATATTTCAAACTATTCCTAACAGTTTGCTGAAGAGTGTTCCCCTTTAAGAGGGTTTTACATTAGTGCCAAATAGTTACAGGTAAATGTTAATGCTTCCAGAACAACCAAGAGTTAGATTAAAAAGACTGAAACAATCCCCATCACACTGTGCGTACGCCCATGTAGATGCTTACGAGAGCATGTTTGTGAGCATGTTCCCGTGTGTGCACATGTTGGGGTGTCCACGGAAGTCAAGACACCCTCCAGTGCTGTTACTCAGACATGGGCAACTTTCCTTCAAGACAGTCCTTCCCTGGCCTGGAACTTGCCAAGTAGTCTAAACTGGCTGGCTAGGAGGCCTGCTAGGCCATCCTGTCTGCGGCATCCAAGGCCGGGATCACAAGCCCACATCATCCCCGTTCCTGTTTTCACGGGGGTTCTGGGCATTGAACTCAAGCTCCTCAGACCCCTGTGCTATTTCTCAAGTGTACCCTCCTTTTTGTGGAAAAGGCTGGCTATCTATTTAAAATAATCGAATTAGTAAATTTTCCATTTTTAGCTTTATAGGGCTCTTCCCAAAGGACTAAACTTACGAAGGCAGCTTCCACTTACACACTAGTCAGAAGGGCCGTGTCTTCTGGGAAACACCCAGTCTTTCGCTCTTCAGTCATGTCTCTGTGCAAAGGAGTTCACTTCTGAAGGGAAGACTGGAAAATTCTGAAACTGAGGGCTCTTTATGCTGCTAACAAGCTACAAAAGGCTACTCTGGGCCAACCAAATCATAAAACTGAGGACAACATCACCAGAACACAAAACTGGGACGCAGCAGCGAGGAAAGTGGCTTCGGGAAGACTGGCTATGTGCATCCTGAGTTACTGTCCAAATTAATCGCATCTGAATACGTTGGGTTTTTTAAATTCTTTTAATTAGTAAAAATGAAGGAGACAGCACTTTGAATCCTGAAACCGCTCACAGCATTTCCAGAGCTTCCGCAAACAGCTAGAATATTAGCATCAGGGAGAGAACCGTCAGAGATGGAGAAAAAGGCCAGGCTGACCAGGTGAGGTAATAGGCTATGACTGGGCTCTGCTCCGGGGATGACAGGGTGGCTTTGGGTAAGAGATGACCATGAAATGGTTTATATTTGAGAAAGATAGTCCCAGCTTCTGTATGAGAATCGGGCAAAAAAGCAGAAGCAGGTAGACAGGGAAAAACAACTGCCAGGTACTGACAAGGCACAGGTAGTCACAGGTGAAATAGACCTGGCAAGGCATAAACTCAGCAGGCATTGCCAACAGGAAGCCTACCAGACAGAATGAAATACCAAAGAGGACTGTAAGAAGATAACTCGGACTACAGAGCTGAAGACCAGGAGCAAGAGGGGTGGGGAAACAGAGGCTCGCTGACAGGGGTCAGCTGCAGAGGTAAGGGAGGAGGTGGATAGAGAACAGGGCAGCAGTGAGCAGGGCTTATATGGCTGCATGGCGTGTGGCTTTTTAATGTGTTTAAAGAGAAGATGCTACACATTATGATAGGGTCTGATCCAGACCAACAGAGAGCCATTGCAACAGAGATGAGAAGAGATGACCTTTACCAAACAACCATACTAGGTACCTGTTAGGTGTACATAGCTGTGTGTGTGTGTGTGTTTTTTTTAAGATTAGTTTTATTTCTATTTGATATGAGTAGGTGTGTGCATATGTACTCATGTGCAGTACCCATGAAGACCAGAAAGGATGGCAGATGCCCCAAAGCTGAAGTCACAGGTAGTTCAACCCATACGGGTGTTCAAGAATCAAATAGTACATGGGCAGCAAGTGCTTTTACTAGCTGGGCCATCTCTCCAGCTCCAGTCAGATAGATTTTGTTCCTCAGAGAGTCACAATCTAGCACAGAAGAAGGGAATAAATGATGGAGCGGCAACGTCAGAGCCACCGGCAGCACACACAAAGTACCTCTGTCATGTCCCTGACACAAGTGTCAAATGACAGAACACGCTATGGGGAGGAGGATGTACTCAGATCAGATGACTGTGCAATCTACTTCAATTACTAATACGTTCTGCAAAACTATTTTTCAAGTAATTACTCAGAACTCTACTATTTTAAAAATATGTGTGCTTAAGAAATGTACAATTTTCTTTTTTTATAATAATATTTATATAATTACAAGTTGGGACAAACACATTTTTGCAGGCCCTTTTTTGTAAACAATGTTATTAGGGACAATGGAGTTCCATGACATAAACACAGCTGTCCCTTGCCGTTTCGTCTTTTCCCTAAGCACTGCATGGCTGACTCTCCAAGTAGCTGTTGAGTGCCATGTTAAGCCATGAGAGACACAGGCGTGGCCTCTGACAGCGCCCTCACATGGGACCCTCAGAGTCCCAGGGCAGCTACCTTGGCTTGAGTGAGTCACACAGATTTGTCAGCACAGGAAATCAGCAAATAAACCATCTCACAAAGAACCTTTTTTTTTTTAAAAAAAAAAAAAAAAAAGCTTATTTCTTGACTTTTTGAGAATACGAGCTGAGTGGGGTAAAAGTTTCTGATCTCAAAAATATCTTCAGGTATTTTAAAGATAATACAGTAATTACACAACAAGGAAAAAAACCTCTAGAACCACAAAGTTCAGAAAGCAAAGGCCTCTGAATCCCCAAATAAACCAAATATTCAGCTGCTCCCCACTTGGACGAGGTTCACTGACCTGCTGAGCCGCTTCTCCATTCACCAAGTGGGGCATCATGGCCACCTCCCCATTGAGCAGGGGTGGCAGTTCCAGGGGGATCTGGTCGGTCATCATCATGGTGACGTACATTCATGGAGAATTGCCCTCAACCGGCTACCTGCAAGAGAAATGCCCACGTTTACAAAAATAAAATAACATATAACAAAAGTTACCTCCCGGGCGCAATGGACGTACCCCATCTCTGTTGAAGCCCGTATGACTGTCATCACGGAAAACTGCTGCTAAGGAGCAGCAAGGACCAGGAAGTAAGCAGAACTCACTGACCAAAGCGAGGCTCCAAGCATTTTGTTAAAAACTTTACAGCTTATGAATAATGGTAACAACCCTACCCGAGAAATCTGAGGGGAAAATGAGATCGCATTTTCTAAAGTAACTATTTATGAGCAGGTCACATGCTCACCCACGGAGGCCAAAAAAGACTCAGATCCAATGAACCTGGGGTTCACAGGCAGTTGTGAGCCACCCACAATGGGTGCTAAGAACTGCACTCTGCAAAAGCAACAAGTGCCTTTAACCGCTGAGCCATCTCTCAGGCACCCGAACATCACATTTCGAGATGGCGAAAATGACCAACAGAAACTAGGGTGGTAAAGACCAAGACCAAAAACACATCCCAGAAGAACCACGCTTGCCGTTAGCAGAAAGCTCTCCCTCTCATTAAAATCAAAATAACATTCAGAAGCTTTTAATGCAACGAGCAAACAGAGATGGATACATACACTGAAGTCTCCGACTTAGCCATTAGCTTGATGATCAGTGCGGTGGTTTGAGTATGAATGGCCCCCCTAGACTCCTGTTTGAATGCTTGGCTCATAGGGAATGGCACTATTAGGAGGCGTGGCCTTGGTGGAGGAGGTAGGGAGGAAGTGAGTCACTGTGGAGGTGGGCTTTGAGGTCTCATAAGGTCAGGCTAGGCCTAGCCTGGCAATCTCTTCCTGCTGCCTGTGGATAAAGATGTAAAACTTGCAACCCTTCTGCAGCACCACGTCTGCCTACAAGCCGCCATGCTTCCTCCCATGATGATAATGGACTACACCTCTGAACCTATAAGCCAGCCTAAATTAAATGTCTTCCTTTATAAGACTTGCTGTGGCCGTGGTGTCTCTTCACAGCAATAGAACACTGACTAAGACCGAAATAACAGAAACCTTGACTAGACAATCAACCATGGTCTGTCTCTCCTGGATCATTTCTTTGGGTTGAACATACAGGATCTCCTTTCTCAGGAACATGTTGGGCCCTTCTGTATCTGTCACACGCCAGCCAGTGGGCTCAAAAGCAGATTTCCTTGTTTCCACAGAATAAATAAAATTCACACTATTATTCAAAATAGCACAAAGGTTTTTTTTTTTTCTTTCCAACCATAATTGCACCTTCCTCTGTAGTCAGCTTGACAGCACAACAGGAAGAAAAGAACAGTAAATTCCTAGAGGATTGTAGCCTGCTCCATAAAAAGTATTCCTGTATTCATCCACTGTGGCATGAAAAGGCTAGCAACATGAAAAATGTGTGTGTGTGTGTGTGTGTATCACACATGCCCAATTTTAAATGATTTCAGAAACAAATTTAAAGGCTAAAGTTTTATCATTCATAAAAATTCCTTCAAATTTTTATATTCATAGCAATTTTGACTAATGAATATCTTACTGTTAATGGTCCAGTCAGTCCAAATGCAACAGAAATTCCTGAGTAGCTGTCTTGGATTTGTACTGGATAAGTAAGGTAGAAACAAAGTATTTGTTTTCGTTACTGAGTACCTCCATTCTGAACATTACACTCGGCTTCCCCTTCATCTTGCCTACAAAAAGCTCCCTCCCAGAAGCATCTAATAATACCCAAAGGCCACCCAAGAGATGTTTTTATTTTAAATAGGCAAATTTTTATACTATCCATTATAACTCCATATGGAGAAACTCCTTATTTGAGAACCTGACAAGGAAGCCCTGTCCCAATAGGGGAAGTACATTCCCTAATAACAGGTCTTATAATCCAGCGTTAATGGTACTGTTCTGCTATTTTTGTAGAATGGTTTCTCAGCTCCTAAGCAAATGAAAATAGAGCCCACAGCCAAGGTGGTCTAGCCTGAATCTCCTACACTAAAACCAAGATAAGCCTCAGACACTGTCACCACTTAACTGTGTGGTTTCAACCGCCTGCCAAGTAAGGAACACTCCTGCCCAGGTCTGTTATGTCCTAATACATTTAACTTCACCCACTTTGAAAGGACAAGATGCTACTTCTTCCTCAAATGCACCTGTTTCTTCAGTGTAATATTTCATTTGATGTTTCTCAAGAAGTGTATGCTGGGACTGGGGACACAGCTCCATCAGCAAAATGACGCTGAGCCAGCATGAGGACCCCCACACATGACACTGCCCAGGGTGGCTCCCACATAATCCCAGTGCTTGGGAGGTGGAGACAGGAAGATACCAAGGGCTCACTGGCCAACCCACTGAGCCCAATCAGTGAGCTCGGGCGAATGTGGAGACCCTCTCTCAAAACACAGAAACAAACACACAAGGTGATGGCATCAGAGGACAAACACAGAGGTTCACTAATGCCTCATCTGCGTGAATGCATGTGTGCACACACACATACACAAACACATACATACATACATGATCACACATATACATACATGCACACAAACACACATACATATATACAAACACACACATACATACACACACACGGAAACATACACATACACACACAGAGGCTAGAAATGCAAGTTGGCTTACAGACAATAATGTCTGTTGGAGTCTTGCTTGCTTTAAGAAGTACTCTCCGTAGAAAGACCTGGAGGGGACAGGAGCTCCACAAGGAAAGCAACAGAACCAAAAAATCTGGGCACCGGGTCTTTTCTGAGACTGATATTCCAACCAAGGACCATTCAGGGAGATAACCTAGAACCCCTGCACAGATGTAGCCCATGGCAGCTCAGTCTCCAAGTGAGTCCCATAGTAACGGGAATAGGGACTGTCTCTGACATGAACTGATTGGCCTGCTCTTTGATCACCTCCCCCTGAGTGGGGAGCAGCCTTACCAGGCCACAGGGGAAGACAATGCAGCCAGTCCTGATGAGACCTAATTGACTAGGATCAGAAGAAAGGGGAGGAAGACCTCCCCTATCAGTGGACTTGGAGAGGAACATGGGTGGAGAAGGGGGAGGGAAGTTGGAATTGGGAGGGCAGGAGGGAAGGAGCTACAGGGGGGATACAAAATGAATAAACTGTAATTAATAAAAAAAATTTTTTTAAAGAAAAAGAAAAAAAGAAGTACTCTCTGCTCTTTTGCATGCTTCCCTCATTCGTCCCACACAGGCACTTCGGGCAGTCACTGGAGTAAGTGATGTAGATGCTGACCCCTGCCTTCTTGCTCTTCCCCTCCACAGCAATGAGCACCAAGGTCCTCTCCCACTGGCAGCACATCTCCTAGACCATCTCCTAGGCTGAATGCAACCCGAGCTCTCTCTCTGGTCACCCAAGAAGGCAGGAGTAAACCATGACCTGACCGCTCCTCCTTGACCCAAACCTACCTGGACCTTGTAGGTCCTGGAATTCTATCATTATGTTAGGGTATAGTAAGGACAGAGGTTTTTGAGGACAGAAAAGAGCGTGCTGGGGGAATGGCTCCTTAATCAGGCTCTGATGGCAGTTACTTATGCTCACTGGTCCAACACTGTCTAAACTGGAGTTGGTCTCAAATGCAAAATTCAAAGTATTATCTTGCTACAATGTATCATTATTTCTTCTATAGGTTCCGGCAGTAGTAGCAGATCGGGAGGCTGGATAACAAGTTTTAACTAGATACAAAATTCAAGTATTCCAGGTCTCCTAGGAACAAAGAATAACGGGGCACCAACAATTCTAACAATGACAATTCCAGTTTTAAAATACTTCTGGTTCTCTTACTGTTGAATAATAAGACCCGCTTTCAACATGACACAACCTATGCCATTAAGTTACAGTACTCTCACACCCAAAGTAGTGTTAGATTCCAAGTCCTACAAAAATGGGATTAAAGAGACCCAAAGACAACTCCTGCAGGACACCCTCTGACTTCCACATGGCTCACAGCTCGTGTGCGCATGCACACACAAACACACATACACACAAGAGAGAGAGATTTCATACATAATACGTAAGATTTTACACACACACATAAACCAGACTACCTCCAACAGAATATGAGGTAACAGACTGGTAGAGGAGGCAGCCGCGCAGCCAACATTTAAACAGCCATTTCTGCGCTCTGCGAGCACACACGGGACATTTATCATCTGATAAGAATGCAAGGGAAATGTGGAAACCATAGTCAGTTATCTCCAGACACTTAACAAGGCGGCCACCTAGCAAGCTGCTCCTCCAAACTACCCTAGAGCAGAAACAGCCTAGCACCATAAACCGCAGAGAGAACAGGACAGGCAAGTAGGGACTGTCAAAGAATGAACGCAAAGGTAGAAAAAGAAAGCATGCGAGTGGATATGCAGTGGTGTCTTTCTGGTGGGAGACTTGCTATCCAGCAGGACTCATTTGTAATGATCTGGGGTCTGAATTACTGATCTTCCTTACCACACAGCAAGCACACCATACATGTTTTAATAAAATGCACCTGGGGCCATGGTGGACAATGGTAAGAGCAATCATAAGAAGGTGGCCTGCCTGCGAATTTCTGTAGCATTCTAGCCTGAGGTACGCAAAGAAACTCACCTCTGCTTCGAAGTGTTTTGTTTTTGTTTTTTTTTTTTTGTTTTTTTTTTTTTTTTTTTTTTGGTTTCTTCGTCTGTCTTGTCTGTCTGACTGTCTGTCTTATAAAGACAAGTTCTGGCTATGTAGCACAAGCTGGCCTCAAACTGTAAATCACAAACATCGTACCACCACACTTGCTCCTGTGAGTTATTACACCTAGTCTCTCTGTGTCCTATATCCCAGGCCCATGCTACACACACACACACACACACACACACACACACACACACACACACACAAAATCATTGATAACTTTCTCTGTAATCTCAGAACTATACTGTAAATTTGGTGTCTGGAACTTCCTTGGTGTCTGCAAACCCAACAGTCAGTTCCATATACAAAAGAA